AGCTTATTATTCCTAATCATCTTGAATCCCAAGCTGAGCCTTAATCCTTGCAATTTCATGATCAAGGTTATCAAACCGATCAAGAATGCACGAATATTGTGACTCATGCTTCCTTGCCATTTCCATGACAGCATCAAGCTTGTTAATCATAATCTGTTCAAACGGAGAAAATGCCTTAGGCTCAGATTGGTGCTCTTGTTCAGGTTCTGGTTCCACCTGAGGTGGTTGTTCCTTATCATGAGATGGAACACCATCTTCATCAGTAGCTAGTTCTGGTTTTGAAGGAGCATCACCCTTGAGTACCCATTTATCTTCTTATTTTAACATCCCCATATGATGCAAAGAAGATTTCTCAATCTTGTTCGAGGCAAGGAGAATTATCTTTTTCTCCCCTTGAAGATCCACTCCTGCATTCTCAAATACTTTTGACAATAATAGAGCATAGGGTATAGGACCATCCTTTTTTCTCCTAGCCTTCCAGATGCAGTCATTCACAATAGATACCCAGTCTATCTTTTCTTTTTTCTTAATCACATACATTATCAGAATATCATCTCTAGACATTTGAGCATGATTATGAAGCCTAGGTTTAAAAATCCAAGCAATTATAAAAGAAATTAACCTAGAGTTTTTCTTCATACCTCTAGCCAGAAATTTGTTATAATTTGTGGTCTCTAGATTCCTCTGACAGTCCCTAAAGGTTTTCAGCTCCTCAATCACCAAAATTGAAAGGTTGGGGTTTCGTATTCCTGATTCCGCTTAGCCCAGCTGTTTCTTTCAAAGTTGGTCCATCAAGCTTTATGAGCATTCCTTTCACCACCGACTGCATTATTCCACCGTTGCTTAAGGCAAAGCATAAGAACAACCTAATAAGGTCCGGATAATATGGACCGTCTAGTTCCAAGAACTTCCCAAGTTCTTGATACTAGAAAAATGGAAATTAGAGACGGAAAGAATCCGTCACAAAATTAAAGAAAATCCATCACAAAATTATTAGTGACGGAATTTGTGATGAATTTTGGGTCGTCAGAAAAAATGGCGTCACAAAATATTTAGTGTCGGAAAAATTTAGTCCATCACAATTAGTGAAGGATATATGTCGTCACTAAGTAATAAATTTTTCGTCACAAATTACTTAAATAAATGTTAATACTTGAGTAAAATTCCATCGCAATTTGTGACGGCCTAAGAAGTCGTCGCAATTTGTAAGGGAACGCATTCGTCACAAACTATGAGAGATTCAAAATCTGTCACAAAATCTTAATTTTTTATTTTTACGAATTTTTAAATAAAAATAATTAAATTATTCTAGATTTATTAATTATACAATATATATTATTTTCACTTTTTTTTCTAATCTATAAGTATTATAATTGGCAGTGGTAAGATTCGAACCCCTTACCTTCAACTCATTCTAACCTCAATACTCCTTCTCCAGCCATCTGAGCTACCTTATCAGTTCAGTACTTATTTAACAATATATATAAAAATATGAAAGAATATCAATTTTTATCACAATAATATCAAATATCATTAAACATCAAACTAATAAATTTAAAATAGATTCATAATTAAGATCATAATATAATTTATTTTAGAATTTATATTTTATTAAATTAATTGAAAATTAATTATATTTTATCACTTTTTAATCAAGTGAATGAATGATAATGAATTAACAAAATTTTTAAAATATATTTTAATTGAAAGTATATTTTTAGTAAATATTTGAATATAAAAGTATTTTTATAAATAATTAAATGAAAAATATATTTTAAAATTTATTTCTCTCATAACACCAGTTAAGTAAAAATTTTCAAAAAAAACTAAATTTATATTTGTTTGCGTTATTTTTCCAAAAAAAATAAAATAAAAAGAAAAGGTCAAACCTTTTGATAATTAAGTCATCCAAAAATTAAGACCAAAAAATAATGTTGATTGGACCAAACTATCCAATACGTACGGACTGAATTCAGTGTGATATCCTCCACCAAAAAGAAAATGACAATAGACTCCGAAACTGTAATGCATAAATAGAATTTGAAAATTAAAATAATTTATTTGAAACGGTTACACGAGGAAAAACGAAAAGAATAAATAGTTATTTAGATTGTGAAACTTGTAATCAATTACTAAAACCTTATATTTGATTACTAGATGACTTTATAAATTTAACTTTAATTCTAATACTTATAATCCTTTAAATAATTTTTTAATTAATAAAAAATATTATAAATAATGATTTTTTTTATAATATTTATTAAAATTATACATGTAACACTTAAATCCAAAATAATGATCAAGTGCCATAAATTCTCCAGCATCAACCATATATATATATATATAATTATATATTATAAATTATCATAAATATTTTTTAAACTAAGTATAAAAATTAAATGAAGTTTAAATAAATGCAAATGACAATGTATTACAAAGTAATAGTTTCATCTTTGTATTAAAAATATATTATCCTTCTCTTTCTCATCTATCTTTTAACATAATTGTACAATAAAATTTTCTATTTTGAGAGGGATACATAATCTCTCACAGATTGTGACGGAATTTGTGACGGAATATAATTTTTAAAAATTATCCGTCACAGAATTCGTCACAAATTGTGAGAGATTCAAAATCCGTCACAAAATCTTAATTTTTTATTTTCACGAATTTTTAAATAAAAAATAATTAAATTATTCTAGATTTATTAATTATATAATATATATTATTTTCACCTTTTTTTCTAATATACAAGTGTTAATTATAAAGTGTATTATATAATATATATAATACATGTAACACCCAGTTTTTAATTTCACTTTTCATTTATTTTAATTGAGGGTATTTTGGTAATTTTATAAAGGTATAAAGGTGATTTAGTAGCTTGGAACGGGCCGTTCTAAACTACCAAAAGGTATGTGATTTAGTAGCTTGGAACGGGCTGTTCCGGAAATTGGAACGGGTCGTTCCAAACTACCAAAATATATGAGAGTTTGTTGTCCAGAACGGGTCGTTCTCAAGTTGGAACGGGCCGTTCTGGACTATTAAAAATTGCCTTTAACTCTAAGTTGGAACAGGCTATGGAAGTTGTGAGTAATAAATGCAACCAAAACGGGTCGTTCTGGTTTGAGAACGGGCCGTTCTGGGTGTGATTTTTACCCATGATTCAAGGGTCCAGAACGGGCGGTTCCGGCGAAGCTTGAGGCCTATAAATTGAGCTCCCTGCCACTCCCAAAAAGCATACCTCTCATTTTCTGATTTCTTTTCTTCTGCTCTCTCTTCTTTTCCCTCTACTTTCTGCTTCAGACTGAGGGGAACCCAGCAAGGGAGACCAACCAGATCTCATATAAATTCAGCTTCTACATATCCAGGTACGGGGAAAAAAGGGAATTATTTATATATAGAGTTACATGAGAGAATTGGGTAGAGGAAGAGTCCCTTAGGATTATGAGTAAATTTATAATTATTTATGTTTGGAGAATTATTGATCTTATATGATTAATATATGATTTATTTGTAAAAATGATGCTCTGGGAGAGAGAACGAAATTATAGAAAAGTGCCTGTAAGTTAGGTTGTGAAAAATTAGATGATTTCTGTTTGAGGAATTGATGATCCCATTAGATTCTGTATGTGTTGAGGATTATAAATATGCTAATAATTTGTAAGAATGATGATCTGGGAGAGAGAATGGAATTGTAGCAAAGTGCCTGTGAGCTAGGTTTTGGAACAATTGGGAGTTTTACTGTTTATGTTGAAATTATATAAAATTTGTAATTCCGTTGAGTATTATATTAATTTATGAATGTTATTGTTATATTACTTGATAAAAATTGTTGATTTAGATGTGAGTTGCTTGATGGGTATGAAACCCATTATTTTGGACTTATTTGATGTTTGTATGGAAATGAGCTATGAGATGAGATGTTGTATGGATGTTAATATGATTATGATTGAGGTTCCTCACACTAATGACTAGGGATGGCACGACCCCTGGGTAAGTGATGCTATAGGGAGGGCGTGACCCTGACATGGTGTGGGATGAGTAAGACAGTTAACACGCATCACTTATGTCAAATATGGCAGCCCTCGCATAGGGTTAATTGTATCAGATTGTGTGGATTGTGATGTAATTGTGGTTTCTCACATTAATGACCAGGGATGGCACGACCCCTGGGTAAGTGATGCTACAGGGGGCGTGACCCTGACATGGTGTGGGATGAGTGAAGCAATTAACCTGTATCACTTATGTTAGTTGTGGCGTGGCCTTGGCATAGTGTTAATTGTAAGATTGTGTGAATTATGAATATGAGAATGATAATGTTAATTGCAAGATTTGAGATGAATGGGTTTGATTGCGAATTATGAAGTGAAAATGATGCATGATTTATATAGAGTTATGATATATATATATAAATGCTTGTAAATATTTTCTTATGTAATGAGATTACATTGTTGTGTGTTTGTATGTGATTTACATATGGATGTTTTCTTTTCTTACCATACAAAATAAGAATATTTTAGGTGACGAAGATCCAGCTACGAGTGGCATCTAGAATGCCAACGGTTGAATTATGGGTACGCACTGATATTGTGACATCGGGGCAGAGGATTTTTAGAACATAGTTTCATATGGATTTGGAATTGTAAGTATTATTTTTTAAAACAATTTGTAAATTCTTGCGTTTCATTTTTATTATTGTGGTTATTGAAGAATAATTTTGAAGATTCTCATATGAACCCTTTTACCGAAATTGAAAAATTTATTTCTAAGTTTTTATTATTACAATATATGTGTTGGGGGTAGTAAGGGTCACATTTAGTGGTATCAGAGCAGGTCGATCCAATCGGGCGTGAGTTATGAGTCTACTATGCTTGTTTGGTAGATAATTGATGGAATGAATTGATTGTGGAATTTGTTGATATGTTAGTGCAATGATTGATTAAGTTTGTTGTTTACTTATAGTATAATTGTTAACTTTTCTGGAGATCAGAAAAGTAATGGCAGGAGGTAGGAACGATCGTGCAATCGCTGATGCTCTACAAGCGATGGCTCAGGCTCTTGGTAATTTGAACCAACGACCAGAGATAGATTGGTTAGAGAGATTCCAGCGAAATAATCCGCCAAGCTTCCGTGGAGGTTATAATCCTGATGGAGCTGCTGACTGGATTTTTGAAGTTGAAAAGATATTCCAAGCTAACTTTGCCTGCCTTCATGCTTTCTGGAGAGGCTGGCATTTGGTGGCAAGGTGCTTTGCAAAGAATGATAGTTGCAGGTACTCAAGTGAACTGGGAGAATTTCAAGCAGCTATTCTTGGAGAAATACTTTTCCCGAGATGTGAGACATAAGAAATAGGTAGAATTCCTGGAGTTGAAGCAAGGAGAAAGATTCTGTGGCTGAGTATGTGACTAAGTTTGAAGACTTGGTCAGATTTTGTCCTATGTATGATGGTGTGGGCAATGAGGAGGAAAAACTTGTGAATTTTGTGAGTGGTCTTCGCCCTGAGATTAAACAAGTTTTCAATTATCAAGAGATCACTCACTATCATGAATTGCTAAACAAGTGCCGAGTATATGATGAGGACAACCGTGCTAGGGTAACTCATTATAAGAGTGGAGGACCCATGAGGAATAATAAGTTTGGTTCATCTAGTAAGAGTAGACCTTACATCAAGTCTACTGGGGACTCAAGTTCTAAGGTGAATAATCAAGGTTCTGTGCAACAAATGAGCTAAGCTCCAACAGCTAGCCAAACTTCTAGAGGAGGAAGTGTGGGTTCTGTTCCACACATCAACTGCTTCAAATGTGGGAAGCCAGGTCATAGGGCAGTTGAGTTTCAGGCGCAAAGAGTTATAACATGTTTCAAATGTCAAGCGAAGGGACACAAAGCTAGTGAATGCCCCCAGAATAGGAAAAAACAACAGACGTTGGAGGGAGCGCTAACAAACCTAGAGCGACAAGAAGGGTGTTTGCCTTGAGTGGTGCTGAAGCTACTCAATCCAAAGACTTAATACAGGGTATGTGTTTCATCAAGGGAACTCCTCTAATTGTTTTGTATGACTCTGGTGTGACTCACTCTTTTATATCACATGCGTGTGTGTCCACATTAAAATTACCTGTTTCTTCCTTGTCTTTTGAATTAATAGTAGAGACACCAACTAGTAGTTCAGTGTCTACTTCTGATGTTTGTTTAAAATGTCCTTTAATTATTGAGGGTAGAGATTTCATGGTTGACTTAATTTGTTTGCCTCTAAGTCAGCTAGATGTTATTCTGGGTATGGACTGGTTATTTTCCAATCATGTCCTTTTGAATTATGTTGATAAATCTATTATTTTTGGTGATCTTGATGAAAAAAATGAGTAAGGATTATTTGACTGCCAACCAAGTTAAGGTATCTTTGCAAGAAGATGCCCAAGTGTACATGTTGTTAGCTTCTTTGAATTTTGAGAGTAATGTTTTGGTGAATGAACTGCCTGTTGTGTGTGACTTTTCGGATGTCTTCTCTGATGATATGTCTAGCTTACCACCTAGAAGAGAAGTAGAGTTTTCCATAGACTTAGTACCAGGAACAAGACCTATTTTTATTGCACCTTATAGGATGTTACCTGTAGAGTTAGTGGAGCTTAAGAAACAAATAGAAGACTTGTTGGAGAAGGGGTTTGTGAGACCTAGTGTATCACCTTGGGGAGCACCCGTACTCTTAGTCAAGAAGAAGGATGGTAGCATGAGGTTGTGTGTAGATTATCGCCAATTGAATAAGGTGACCATTAAGAATAAATATCCATTGCCTAGGATAGATGATCTTATGGACCAGTTGGTGGGTGCTTGTGTATTTAGTAAAATTGATCTTAGATCGGGGTACCATCAGATTAGAGTTAAGGGTGAGGATGTACCTAAGACAGCATTTAGGACTCGTTATGGACACTATGAGTATCTAGTAATGCCTTTTGGTGATGTGACGAATGCTCCTATAATTTTTATGGATTACATGAACCGAATTTTTCATCTATACTTGGATAAACTTGTAGTCGTCTTCATAGATGACATACTAGTTTATTCCAAGATAGTAATTTAAATAAAATAAATTTCAACTCGATTTTTTAAATAAGTAACAAAAATTATTGACAAATTTAATTTTCAGATGTTACCTTCAGTAGATGGATAAATTGAAATTGGTTCAACCATTGGACTATGAACAATAACATTTGACTCCACTTCACTATCAGATGCTTCACAATCATCTATTTCATCTTCATTTGATTCATCAACGCTTTCATATGATAATGAAGCATGATAGTCTTCATCCGCTTCGTCATCTTCATCTTTGTCTCTTGTCATCAATGGTGATCGTTCAATTGAAAAATTTTCTAATGAAATTGTTGAAGATTCTTTCATACCTATTTCAGCATATAATTCCATTATTGGCATCACATTCTGGCTCTGAAATGCTTCTATCATGCATTGTACATCATCATCGTCACTCAATTCCAATGAAGAATATATGTTGTCATCATGGTGTGAAACTACAAATATGTAACTTACAGATAATATCACTTGATTTGACTTAAGATGAAATTTATTGTGAATCATTCTCTTTAATATATCCAAAGTTAAACCTCGTTTAACATACATTCCTTTTCTTGGTCCATCAAATGTTACACCTTCAGAACTTTCATACATCCTTCCAATGTAAATATAAGCTATAATTTGATCCATAATATCTGCAAAAGAAATTAATAATTAGTACAAATAGCTATAATTTATATTTCAACTACAACAAAATTTCACTCACAAATTTTAATACAGAGCTCCACCTATTATACTTATCGGTGTAATTTCAAATGTGAACAAAACGTAACTGGCAGGAAATGTATATATACTGCAATAGTCACTATGGGTCATAGAGTCACAAAGTCGCTATGGCCTATAGCGACCTTATTTTTCAAATTTTTTTTCTCCATATGCCTTTTACCCATAGCGCCTTTGTGTCACTATGATCCATAGCGCCTTTGTGTCACTATGATCCATAGCGACATCTTTTTTTTTAATACTTTCTTTTTTGTGTGCGTTTTTATTTATTTCTTTCTTTCAATTAATTAAAATACATATGAAAAAAAATATAAAATTAACTGAACCAACAAAATAAAAAAAATTGCAGAAAAAAATAACTATAAAAAAAAATACTAAAAATAAATTATAAAATAAATGTGGAAAAGTTAAAAATAAATAAATAAAAACAAAGGTCGCTAGGGCTCATAGTGACTTTGTGTCGCTATGGCCCAGAGTGACATCCTTTTTTCTTTTTTTTAAATACTTCTCTTTTTGTGCATTTTTTTTCCTTCAATTAATTAAAATACATCGAGAAAAAGAAAAAAACAAGGAAAAATATCAAATATAAAATTAACTAAACGAACAAAATGAAAAAAAAAAACGCAGAAAAAAATAACTATAAAATAAAATTTTTAAAATTAATATATAAAATAAATCTGGAAAAACTTAAAAATAAAAATAAAAAGGGAGGTCGCTATGTGTCGCTATGGGCCCTAGTGCCTCCAATAAATATATAAATTTTATTTTCAAAAATTTTGCTTCGTTGTAGAAAAATTATTAATATATTTTTAAACATCAAGTTTTAAAAGAAATATATTTTAAATTATATTTTTTCTCTATTAAAAAATATTTTTTATTATAAAATTGAGCCATTTTAAATGGTTTAGGAATTTGACTCCACTTCACTATCAGATGCTTCACAATCATCTATTTCATCTTCATTTGATTCATCAACGCTTTCATATGATAATGAAGCATGATAGTCTTCATCCGCTTCGTCATCTTCATCTTTGTCTCTTGTCATCAATGGTGATCACGATCCTGGTGATAATGTTATCTTAGGACTTGAGATTGTGCAACAAACCACTGATAAGGTTAGATTGATACAAGAGAGGATGAGGATAGCCCAGAGTAGACAGAAAAGTTATGCTGACAGGAGAAGGAAGGACTTGGAATTTCAAGAAGGTGACCATTTGTTCTTGAAAGTCATTCCGTGGACTGGGGTTGGCAGGTCATTGAAATCCAAAAAACATACTCCTCGATTTATTTGTCCTTTCCAAATTCTAAAAAGAGTCGGTAGTGTTGCCTACCAAATTGCTTTGCCTCCTAAGCTGTCAAATCTCCATGATGTTTTCCACATTTCCCAACTTCGAAAATACATTCATGATCCTTCGCATGTGATTGAGTCGGATCATCTTGAGGTTAAGGAGAACCTAACTGTGGAAGCTACCCCGGTGAGAGTCGAGGATCGAATGGTGAAGCAACTTAGGGGTAAGGAAATTCCTTTGGTGAAAGTTATTTGGGGAGGAGCTACACCTGAAAGTGCTATTTCGGAGCTAGAGGAGAAGATGAAAACGTCATATCCATTTTTATTTGCTTCAGGTAATTTCGAGGACAAAATTTCTAAAAGGAGGGGAGAATTGTAACACCCAATTTTTTATTTCACTTTTTATTTATTTTAATTGAGGGTATTTTGGTAATTTTATAAAGGTATAGGGGTGATTTAGTAGCTTGGAACGGGCTGTTCCAGAATTGGAACGGGCTATTCCAAACTACCAAAAGGTATGTGATTTAGTAGCTTGGAACGGGCTGTTCCAGAAATTGGAACGGGCCGTTCCAATCTACCAAAATATATTAGAGTTCGTTGCCTAGAACGGATCGTTCTCAAGTTGGAATGGGCCATTCTGGACTATTAAAAACTGCTTCTAACTCTAAGTTGGAACGGGCTTGGAATGGGCTATGGCAGTTGTGAGTAATAAATGCAACCATAACGGGCCAATCTGGTTTGAGAACGGGCCGTTCTGGGTGTGATTTTTACCCATGATTCAAGGGTCCAGAATGGGCCGTTCCGAATTTGGAACGGGCCATTCCGGCGAAGCTTGAGGCCTATAAATTGAGCTCTCTGCCACTCCCAAAAAGCACACCTCTCATTGTCTGATTTCTTTTCTTCTGCTCTCTCTTCTTTTCCCTCTACTTTCTGCTTCAGACCGAGGGGAACCCAGCGAGGGAGACCAACCAGATCTCATATAAATTCAGCTTCTACATATCTAGGTACGGGAGAAAAAGGGAATTATTTATATGTATAGTTACATGAGGGAATTGGGTAGAGGAAAAGTCCCTTAGGATTATGAGTAATTTTATAATTATTTTTGTTTGGAAAATTATTGATCTTATATGATTCTGTATATATTTAGGACTACGAATATATGATTTGTTTATAAAAATGATGCTCTGGGAGAGAGAACGAAATTATAGAAAAGTGCCTGTATGTTAGGTTGTGAAAAATTGGATGATTTCTGTTTGAGGAATTGATGATCCCATTAGATTCTGTATGTGTTGAGGATTATAAATATGCTAATAATTTGTAAGAATGATGATCTGGGAGAGAGAACGAATATGTAGAAAAGTGCCTGTGAGCTAGGTTTTGGAACAATTGGGGGTTTTACTGTTTATATTGAAATTATATTAACTTGGTAATTCCATTGAGAATTATATTAATTTATGAATGTTATTGTTATATTATTTGATAAAAATTGTTGATTTAGATGTGAATTGCTTGATGGGTATGAAACCCATTATTTTGGACTTATTTGATGTGTGTATGGAAATGAGCTATAAGATGAGATGTTGTATGGATGTTAATATGATTATGATTGAGGTTCCTCACACTAATGACTAGGGATGGCACGACCCCTGGGTAAGTGATGCTATAGGGAGGGCGTGACCCTGACATGGTGTGGGATGAGTAAGACAGTTAACACGCATCACTTATGTCAAATATGGCAGCCCTCGCATAGGGTTAATTGTATCAGATTGTGTGGATTGTGATGTAATTGTGGTTTCTCACATCAATGACCAGGGATGGCACGACCCCTGGGTAAGTGATGCTACAGGGAGGGCGTGACCCTGGCATGGTGTGGGATGAGTGAAGCAATTAACCTGTATCACTTATGTCAGTTGTGGCGTGGCCTTGGCATAGTGTTAATTGTAAGATTGTGTGAATTATGAATATGAGAATGATAATGTTAATTGCAAGATTTGAGATGAATGAGTGTGATTGTGAATTATGAAGTGAAAATGATGCATGATTTATAGAGTTATGATATATATAAATGCTTGTAAATATTTTCTTATGTAATGAGATTACATTGTTGTGTGTTTGTATGTGCTTTACATATGGATGTTTATTTTTCTTACCGTACAAATTGTGGATATTTTAGGTGAGGAAGATCCAGCTACGAGTGGCATCTAGAATGCCAACGGTTGAATTGTGGGTATGCTCTGATATTGTGACATCGGGGCAGAGGATTTTTAGAACATAGGTTTTATATGGATTTGGAATTGTAAATATTATTTTTTTAAAAAATTTGTAAATTCTTGCGTTTCATTTTTATTATTGTGGTTATTGAAGAATAATTTTGAAGATTCTCAAATGAACCCTTTTATCGAAATTGAAAAATTTATTTCTAAGTTTTCATTATTACAAGGGTAGTAAGGGTGTCACAATACACTTTATAATTAATTATATATATATATATATATATTTTTTTCTTTTATTAATTATATAATGTATTAAATTATTCCATTTAAGTGTATTATAAAGTATGATGATAATATTTTTATATATTTATTGATAGACTTAATTGTACTTTTTATTAAATGATCAAGTACAATGAATTTTCTAGCATCAACCATTATATATATATATATATAGTTATATATAATTATATATAATTTATAAATATACTTTAATATATTTATTTTTAGCTTTTTTAGTTAAAATGCAAAATAATATTGTCTTTTTATAATTTCATAAGTATTTTTAAATTAAAAGTTTTTTCCTAATTCATATTTTAATTTCTTATACTTCAAAATGACAACTTATTATTTAAATTAATTCATTTCTTATGTTTTAATTTTTAATCTTTTGATGAAAAAATATTTTAGTTTCGTAGTTTTTTAATTATTTTTTTAGAAAAATAAATTTTTTTTATACATTATTCTTAAATATAATAATTGTACAATAAAATTTTCTATTTTGAGAGGGACACATAATCCCTCACAGATTGTGACGGAATACAATTTTTAAAAATTTTTCATCACAGAATCCGTCACAAACTTATTCATTAAATTATGTGACGGATTTTTGTGACGAAATATTTAGAGAGAAATCAAAATCCGTCACTAAATCCGTCGCAATTTTTTTTATTACTGACCCCGTTTGTGACGGAATTGTTAGAGACAGAAATTTTTCCGTCACAAAATCCGTCACAAACTCTAAAAATAAGTAGTTCGTCACAAAAATAAAATTTTCGCCACAAAAGTCGTCACTATTAGTGACGACATTTTATCTGTCACAAATTTTCGTCACAAATTTTAATTTTTCTAGTAGTGATACTCCAAGAGTGGAGGAAAATTGAAACCCTCAATTTTGAACCAATCCAACTTCAAAGTCTTCGGAGGAATGATTCTTCTACCCGCATACCACTCAAAGTAGTAGTCTTAAGAATCTTTGTCAACTAACCATTTTGTAATCAGTTGCTCAGCTCCTGAGGGCAAATGTCTTTTGCTCCCCCTAACTTCAAGCTTCTTGATTCTCTTGGAAGATGAGGCCATTTTGTAATTAAAGGTGGGTTCTTGATTTTGGGAGAGAAGATGAAGAAGATGAATGCTTTAGGATTAGGCACTACTAGAAAAATTAATAGAGAGGTGCCACTTATTAAGGAAGGTGGGAGGTTGGGAGTTGGCAAGAATAAAACTGTCCAAAAACTGTCTAAGAAACCAAGGGTCACGTAAATAATTGATTATCTATACAAATAATCGATTATTTGTATTAGTAAAATTAGTTTGAAAACCCTGTCTACACTAAATAATCGATTATTTTTTGAATAATCAATTATTCCAGAGACTCATGTCTCATTAGTGCTCCCAGATAATCGATTATTTCCAGAATAATCGATTATTCCAGAGACTAAATGTTTCTAACCTTCCTAGATAATCGATTATTTGCCAAATAATCGATTATTCTAGAGACTTTTAGAATTCCAATTCTTCCCAGATAATTGATTAGTTTCAGAATAATCGATTATTTGCCTAGCCTTACTAAAAATAATCGATTAAATTTTAAAATAATCGATTATTTCAGAGAAGTTTTGTTTCATTAGTTTAAACCTTATATAACTTTCCTCATCCATTTCAACTCTTAAAAGCTCTCTTTTATTAACCATATTTTAATGTTTTATACATACAATCACACAAGTTTTATACACGCAGCAAACAAGTTTTGTACACACAATCACACCCAAGTGCATATTCACAATCAATTCAAATAAGATTCATTAGTTATACCAAGTTCAATTCTTAGCAGATTAAACCTTTCCTTTGGTAGTGGTTTTGTGAAAATATCAACCAGTTGTTTAGTTGTTTCAACAAACTCTATGACACAATCATTCTTTTGAACATGATCTCTTAAAAAATGATGTCATATTTCTATATGTTTTGTTCTAGAATGTAAGATTGGATTTTTAGTGAGATTAATTACACTTGTGTTATCACATCTTAAGGGAATCTTATTCAGATCAGTTCCATAGTCTTTCGATTATTGTTTCATCCAGAGGATTTGTGCACAATAGCTGCCTGTGGCTATATACTCAGCCTCAATTGTGCTTAAAGCAACACATGCTTGCTTTTTGCTATGCCATGAGCAAGTGCACTTCCAAGTAGGTGACAAGTACCACTTGTACTCTTCCTATCAAGTCTACACCCAATATAGTTTGAATTTGAGTATCCTATCAAACTTAGTGAGACTCCTTTTAGATACCATAGTCCTACATTTGTTGTTCCTCTTAGATATTTAAGAATTCTCTTAACATATTTAATATGAGACTCTTTTGGATTTTCCTGAAATCTTGCACACAAGTACACAACAAACATTATAACGGGTCTACTAGCTGTCACGTATAAAAGTGATCCAATAATACCTCTGTATTTTGATTTTTCAACAGCTATCCTTTTCTCATCCAAGTCAAGATTGCATGAGTTTGATATTGGTGTTGCAACCTTCCATACCAAACTTTTACAATAGTTCATTGCAATACTTGCTTTGCTTATAAAGATACCATCATTCATTTGCTTAATTTGTAATCCCAAGAAAAATGTAAGCTCACTGTCGCAACCCAAAAATTTCTGATCTCGCGACCTATGATTTAGACATCCTTTTAAAGATTTCATCAATTAAGGAATGCCCGGATACCAGACTAATCCTTAATTAATGGTTTTGAAATTTGAGTTCATGGAGTCGCCACCAATGTTTTACTCAAAACATTGGAAAAAGAAATTTTTAAAAATCCAATAATGGCCTTGATAAACAGAATTGGGTTCAGGAAGGTATTAAGCACCCCACAACGCCCTCAATCGGTACCCTATGATGAAGTTAATGTAATAAGAATTAATAAATTAAATATTAGATCCCCTTTGATTAATAATTATTTACATGCTTGAAATTTAAATTATGCAATTGACTCTAAAATGTCTACATGATTGTTTTTATTATAACAATGTTTATCAAAGATAAGAAATAAAAGGGAGAGAAAAAGATTGATTGAAATACCTCTTGAACAAGCTCTGTTGAATCTTTAAATATAGAGACTTTTAGGTGCTTGGTGGCAACCTTTCACACTATAATATACCTTATAAATCTCAAGAAATACAAAAATAGGGAGAGAGAGAGAGAAATTTCGAGCTCTAAGGAGTCTTGGACGAAATTTTGTGGCCCTAAGAACTGTGCCCGAGTCTACTATTTATAGGCATCAAAAAGTAGCCAAAATGGCCCGTTCCAAAATCGGAATGGTCCGTTCTAGATCTGACCGTTTTGTGTTAATCTTGTAATTGGAATGGCCCGTTCCTAAAACCAGAATGCCCCGTTCCAAAGGTGAGTTTAACACATAACTGCCTATGCTGGAATGACCCATTCCAAACTAAACTTTTAAGCCTTTTTTGTAACTTGGAACGGCCCATTCCAATTTAGGAATGACCCGTTACAAACTTAGGTTTTAGCCTTTTTTAGGAGTTTGGAACGGCCCCTTCCAGTTTGGGAACGGCCCATTCCAAACTAGGGTTTTAGGCCCTTTTTGTTACTTGGAACGGCCTGTTCTGGTTTTCGAGCAGACTGTTTTGATTTTGGAACAGCCCGTTCTGAGCTACTAAATCCAGCTTATTTGGGCTTTAGGCTTTCTTATGTCATGTCATGTTGTTTCCATGCTTTGGGAGCTCCTTTCCTGGATAATAGACATCCATTTCATTGCTTTTGTGGGTCCGGAAAAAATTGGGTGTCTATAGCTGCCCCTCTTTACTTGTCCTTTGGAATAGCTATGTGTTGCTTTTCCAAAGGCAAGTAAAGACGTAGACATTTTATCCGGGTCTTCTCTCGTCTCTTTGTGCTGACATGAGATGCCTCTATGTCGTTTCCTTCGGGGAGATGTTGTTTACTGATATCCTTGCCCCTTAGAGCAATTGAGTGTTGGGTTGTGTGCCCCATTGAGCGTTCAAGGATGGTAAATCGAAACATCTTGTCTTCCAGTCTTGATATTGATGTTTCCTACTACTTCTACTTGTCTCATGGTAGTGTGTTCCTTTATTTGTAGCTTGTTGAAGAGGGAGTATTTTCGTAGCTCAACTTCCCTCACGACTTTGTCGTATACCAGATTGGGAAGTGACTATAGTGTCTCCAGACCTTTCCCTCACAACTTTGTCATATACCGAATTGGGAGGTGAGTATAGTCTCTCCAGACTTTTCTCACACAACTTTGTCGTATACTAGATTAGGAGGTGAGTTCAGTCTCTCCAGACCTTTTCCTCACGGCTTTGTCATATACCAAATTGGGAGGTGAGTACAGTCTCTCCAGACCTTTCCCTCACGACTTTCTCGTATACTGGATTGGGATATGATTTCAGTCTCTCCAGATCTTTCCCTCACGACTTTGTCGTATACCGGATTGGGATATGAGTACAGTCTCTCCAGACCTTTCCCTCACGGCTTTTTCGTATACCAGATTGAGATATGAGTACAGTTTCTCCAAACCTTTTCCTCACGACTTTGTTGTATACCAGATTGAGAGGTGAGTACAGTATCTCCAAACCTTTGTTATATTTTAAGGAAACTGTTGGTGCCCTCGTTGGTTTGCTTGATTTGTGGCAGATGTTGCCCCAAGGATGTTGGGCAGGAGGTGTGTCGTGATACCTCTAGTGCTGGTGGACAAAAAGATAGATGGGTGACAAGAATTGTAGTGTTGCCCCTGCCATGTGAGTATTGTGATGCCTCTCCAAGCGTCTTTGTGTGGTAGGTTTTTTTTTTAATTTTATATCGTTGTTTAGCTTCGGCTTTTTCATATTTGAAGCTTGCCTTTTTCTGCCATTTTTCTAAATGCTTTGACTTTTTCAACATTTACGAAGCTTGCCTTTTTCTTATGTTGTTGGTTTTGCTTTTTATTGTCATTATTGGTGGAGGGATGATGTTATTCGCTGAATCTTTATTAATGAGTATTATTTTGGAAGCCACTCCTGGATTTGGTGAGGAAGCCATTCCTAGTCTTGGCATTCTCTTGGATCATCCTTCATTCAGTTGAGGAGTAGGGTGCAATGGCCTCTTCATTCTTATAGGCTTGATTATTCTTCCTCGTCCACTTCTGTCCCGTCTTGTTGTTGATGTGTCTTTCTTTTCTTGGTGGCTATATGAAACCACTTGTATGGAATGCCCTTGTTGGGGCTACACTTTTTGACATGATATTGGCTCTTAAGGCACTGTCTAATTATTGATCTTTTTTATGAGTGCTTCGGCCTCTTGATTACTCTGACAAGTGATGGATAGACACACAAAGAATGCAAGGATGCAAAAGAAAATGCAAAGCAGGAATGGATTGGATTTTTTTTTTAATTAAACTTATACCCTTTTGTGCACGCTTGTGCCATATGCATGTTATGCAATGATGCTTCTATGCTAATGCTTAAAATGCAAATTTATTTTTACTTTCAAGAAATTAATCTATGCACATTGATCAATGACATGGATTGTTAGCCCCTTAGCCTTGTCGAATTCAGTGTTGCTTCTTGAACCTGAGATTTGTGTAGTTCGGCCCTCTCTCTTGTACCGGATATGATATGTTAGCCCTTAGATCAGGTGCAGCTAGACTTTGTTCTAGGACACCTCCATCTTTTCCTTGTGAGTATTCACTGTGCATACTTCGTGTATCTCAGATTTATCTTAATGTCATATAGGTCAAGAGGAAAGAGAGGAAGGGGATATATACATTTTTTTTTTTTTTTGCAGAAGTTTTGTTAGAAAGGATTTTTTCAAAAATGATTTTAGAAGAATGGCTGGTCGAGGTAGGCTAGTGGTTTAGGCTGATGAATAAGCACATTCAAAGTGGGGAAATCATTTTTCGGATTAGCTCATTATTTCCTTCAAAGTTAAGTGATGACTTGGGATTGTATATTGATTCAATGATCTTCCCGAGTTGCCTTTTAGTTTTTAGCTTGAGATGCTACTTTGTTCTAACTTTTGCCAGGAGATCTCCTAGGTGTATGCGTGACGACGCATTAGATTATTAATATGCATGGATATCTGTCATGAGTTGCATGTATTGCATGATTGTCATGATGATGAAGTGTATGGTGTTTGACTTCATGTTTGATGAATGAATGATTGATTGAGATGAAAGGTTCCTTTGGGACTTGATTGGGATGCATGTGTAGTATAGATTTTATTCTGTACTTGTATGATTGATTTTTGAATCTAGCTTACCCTTCTGTTTCCATGTGGTGGGACTACGATGATCATACTTGGTATGGGAGCAGGTTAGGGATAACCTGGAGTAAAGGTTACCGCTGCGAGACCGGGAGTTTGAGCCTCGTGTTTTGAGTTACCATTTTGGGTAACGATTTTTGTCTGTGCTTGACCGACACTAAGGAATGTTTTTAGGATGACTGTACATATATGATGCTTTATTTTGTATACAGAAACTTAGTTATTTTGATCCTTATACCTATGCATGTATGTATGTGTTATCCAGTTTAATATTCTCTTAGTTAACTAGTTGTAGTGCGATTTCACTAAGTGTAGAGACCATGACGAGTCGTTACATAAAGTATTCACTCTCAACGGATTAAAAAAACTACTAATATTAAGTTATTGGTAATAATTTATTAATGATATTATTAATATTATTCAAATTCATAAATATTAAAGAAGAACGACTATTTTTTTTTCTTTTGAAATGTGAAAGACTATCTTGTGTAAATTTGTGTTTAGGATTATTCTTCTATGAATATGAGAAAGTTAATTTGTAGGAAAGACTATCTTATGTAAAATTGTGTTTAGGATTATTCTTCTATGAATATGATAAAGTTAATTTGTAAGGATTATTTTAATTTTTTATTAAATTACAAAATTTTATTTATTGTATTTATTAATCTTTATATATTAAATGCAAATGATTATTTTACGTGGAAACATTTTCAAGAACTATTATACCATTTTTTGGAATTCTTCTAACTTCTTATCAAATTCAAATTTTTATTTATTGTATTTATTTATAAATTTAATTTAATTTTTAAAAATAAATGATCAATAATTAAAAAAATTATACTATAACATAGATTATTTATCTTATATTAATCGCGAATGATTATTTTATGAATTATTATCTTACATAAGTGTGTTTTAGTGATTATTATTCGACCGAGTATTTATATAATTCATTTAACTTAGTATCGAATTCAATTTTTTTTATTTTATATTTATTTATGAATTAAATTTACTTCAATATATTAAACACGACTATAATGCATAAGAGTATTTTTAAAGTTATTCTTTGTGTCTTTAAGTTTTTATAACTAATTGAATAATTTAATTTTGTTATTTATCATATTTTTTATGAATTAATTTTAAATATTTTAAAATAAATTATTAATAATTAAAAATAATTATATATTATAATATAAATTATTTATCCTATATTTAAAAATATAACTTATATGTTTAAATAAATAAATAAATATATATACATGCACAACTTTTAAATATACTAAAAAGTTATTGATTTAAGTAGTATTAAACTCACAAGATTTTGACCCTTTAAACTAGGTCTCGAGAGTCTTGTGCATGAGAAAAATGTAGTTGGTAGGAGAGACCTTGTAAAGTTGGTAGATATTTCATATCAATCACATAATTAATAAAAAAAAAATTTAATATAATTTATATTTAAATATAATATTTATTTGTATATATAATTTATTATAAATTTAATTATATATAATAAATATTTAACTTGTGAAATATATAAGTTAAAATACTAGTTTCTTATAATCGTCTCAAGTGTTGGAAAAAAAATATTAATTGCGCTTTTTGCTTGTTTTATTTTATTTTATTTATAAATTTAATCTTCTAAGTATTTTTATTGTATTTTTGTAATAAAAAAGTAGGTAGTTATTAATTTTAAAAAACACAATTATTTAATATTTTCTTTCTTTCTTATTTTTGTTCTTAAGAGATATAATGGTCTTTTAAAATGTGAAAATTAAAGAATGATATTCTTTATATATTATTATAGATACATGAAGTTATTATATGACAAAAACAATATATCATATTTATTTACTATAGGAAAAGGTTATCAAATTTAAAAAAATAAGTAAACTCATATTTTAAGGTTAGTAAATATAAATGGCAAAAACCTAACAAATTTTTAAATTAAAAAAGAATTTAGTCCTTAACATTAGTTTTGATAGCTAAATACCATAAAAAAATCAGCAATTTACGCCAATTTTTAAAAAAATTATGAACTCATTTTTTTATTTTATTTTATTTTATTCTTTTTACTTATCCACAACCTAGTTATAAGTTTTGTAAGTTTAACAATTTGCTTGAAGATTTCCTATAACTATAACTAGACATAGACTCATGTGATGTGCGGATAAAAAAGAAATTATTTAAATTAAAAAATATTGTTTTATTAGTTAATATATAAATTATATATATAATATATAAATTTTATATATATATTTTTTAATTATGTAATATGAGTTTGTTATTGATTTTTTACGACAAATAAGTTTATTCTTGTTTGTAATAGGATTTGAAAAGAAAATATTACTATAAATACTTTTTATATTTATATTTATATAGTATTTCATCCTTTATTTTGTTTGTTAGATTCAAATTGAAAAACATAAAATTCAATTAAATAATCTTTTAAAAAGTTCATAACTAAAGGTAATATATCCAGATAAATATTTTTTATAACTAAATTACAAAATAGTCTATTTCAATATTTTATCAAATTAGTAATAAAGAAAAAGTAGTACATTTCATTTTTGACAAAGATTATCACATAAAAACTAAAATAAACAAAGAGAGTGACAGATAGATTAGATAGAACGTAAATATGTAATATAAAACATAGGCGAGAAAAAAAAGTAGTACATTTCATTAATGACAACGATTGTCATGTGAGATGAAAATTAAACAAAGAAGATAATAAATAAATTAGATAAAACATAAATATATAATATAAAGGATAGAGGAGAAAAAAAGGAAAATAGAAAAAAGTAGTACCATGATGAAATAAAAATTAGATAGTAGGGAAATGAGAGGAGAACAAAAAAAGGAAGATAGAAAACAATAATACCTTTTTGATGGCGATGATGATGAAATAAAAATTAGACAATATATAAAATAGATAGAGCATAAATATATAATATAAAGGATAGAGGAGGAAAAAAAAAGAGAGAGAGAAAAGTAGTACCATGTTGAAATAAAAATTAGACAGGAGAAATGTGACAAAAAAAAGAAGACAGAAAAAAGTAGTACCCTGGTGCAACCGCACAAGAAACCTCCAGTAACTTCTCTATTCTTTTCGAGAACATCGTTGTTCTACTCGAAACAATTTCTTTTCGATCTCGAGCATGAAAAAATAAGATTTCTAATACGTTCCTGGTAGGTGTTTGACTATTATCTTCCTTTCGAGTAGTTTTATGCATGTAGCTTTCGACTTGTATGGTTTTCGAGTAGCTTGAGTAGCTCTATGAATGTACCTTTCTAGTTGCATGGTTTTCAAATGACCCTAACAAAAACAAAGCAATTTCATATTTATTGGATAACCATACCATTCTGTATGTTTTTCATTCATATATAAGGCAAATACATGAAAATGATAGCCATACATAGAGTCCATAAATGTCAGTAAAATACATGTTCCCACAATCATTAAGTGTAGATTTGCCTAAAATCATATATCTAGCAAGATATTACCCACTAGACTAAGTAAACATAATCACAGTAAAACTTTACCCATTAATACAAACAACAATAATTATTTATGACAGTAAAAAAAGAAAGGAAAAGTTTTGCTGCTTTAACACTTCTCCTTAAAACTTTTTTTAAGGACTCCCAACTTGCTTCTTAGCTCATCAAACTTAGTACTTGGAAGTGCCTTAGTGAGTATGTCTGCCAATTCCTCCTTGGACCTGCAATACATCAATTGAATATCTCCATTCTTCTCAACTTCCCTTATAGCATGAAATTTGACATTGATATGCTTGCTTCTCCCATGTTAAATTGGACTTTTAGAAATTGAAATAGCTAACTTGTTTTCACACCATAACACAATAGATTCCATTTGCACATGACTCAAATCTATCAAGACTTTCCTAACCCATATAACTTGATTTGAGGTTGTTGCTGCAACTATATATTTAGCCTTAGTAGAGGATTCAACAACCACACATCTTACTTCTTATATAGTTCCATGAAAATACTCTACTATCAAGTAAAAAAAACATACCATGTTATGCTCTTAAAATCATCAATAGATCCAACCCAATCACTATCAACAAAACCTTCAACCTTTCCATCACTTTTGTTATACCAAATGCCAAAGTCGATTCACAAAGGGAGAAGAGAAAATTTAAAAGCTAATTGATTTACTTTTATATACTTGTAATTTTGAATTTTAAAAATAAATAAAAATATTATAAACAATATACTAAAAATCTTTTACGCTCCTCCGATCTCCTCTTCTTCCTAAAGTTTAAAAATTAATTCCCATTACAAAATTAATGCATTGTTTACTCATATTTTTTTTTAAAAAAGGCAACAGTTTCAGTCATATATGTAAATTTCAAGCAACAATGTAATTTGAGTTCTTAAGTTCTTAAATCTTCTCAACCAATCAATGCATCGAAGTAATTGGAATTCCAATGGCATGCAATCTTGCATTAGTTCCTTATTCTCATGCTCATGGAAAAAGCCTCTTTCTCCCCTTTTAAACATACGTGTAAAATAATCCATTTCCACTATATGAAAGATCATAATTGCTGAGATTTAAGGACAATATAAGAAACTCTATATTAAGAACATAATAGGATGACAATATCAGTTAAATACGTAAAAGGCTTGAAAATAATTTATTGCTGGCTAAAAGAATAAACGCAAGAAAAAGTTTGTTATCGAGGACAGCCACACAGTAGAACATGCATAGCCACACTAATCAGGTAATAAAACGTTTAAATTAAACACTGAAAAATGAGGGAGGCTAAATAAATTTATGGATTAATTATATTTTTAGTCCTCTAAATTTAAAATAATTAAATTTTTAATTCCCAAATTTACAATTTATATTTTTAGTCTATATAATTTTAAAAAAATATTATTTTAATTTTTATAAATGTTCTTTTAATCCCTCAAACTTAAAACATGTATTTTTAGTCACTAAAATATAAAAATTATTTAGTCTTTTAAATTAAAAGTTTATTATTTTAATCTTTATAATTTTAAAAATATTATTTTATTATTTTATGATCATTGATAACATAATTAATAATCACATATTAAAATAATTTTATAATATTAGTTGATCTAATATAATATTTTAATTAATAATAATACTAATAAAATAATTTTATGCGACATATTAATTAATTACCAAAGCTAACTCTTTATCTCCCTTCTACACTACCGAGCTAAATGTACTGGTGGATATGCTCAATTGAAAGTAGGAAAAAAAAAAAAAAAAAAAGAAGAAAAGAATCTAGTCATCTAGATTGGCAAAGTACCATATAAGTTGCAATAAAAAAATATCCTCCAAGTTCGTGACCTTCCTACTACAAACTGAAACCTTTTCTTTCAAACACTGAATCTATAGCATTCTCAACAAACTTCAGGTTTTTATTCTGATTTTCAGACTGTAGTTCATATTAAAAAAAAGTATAAATGTTTGGGGTAGACTTTAGCTGCAAGATTAGAAATATAGCAACGTGTTACACATAAGGTAGCTAAGTTTCATGCTCCAGAAGATATACTTTATAGCCGAATATTTTCTACTCTAACTAGTTCTAAACCATCTCATATAGAAAACAGAACTTGTATTTCTCAAACAATGAGTTGATGGTATAGAAAATCAATACTAAGAACAAATTTGTAGGGCAGAAATTCTTAGCTCCATACAGCATGGATCTTGATACATGGGAAACACATTAACAAATCTAATATTAGCTGCTTAACATGTTGAGAAAGATGCACTTCTCTAGCACTTCATTGAATTGACATAGTCTCATGAGTCATGACAATGAAGTCCTTGAACCTTAGAAACAATGGCCAGAAAACTGGATAAATGTGGGACTGATTTTCAGTTTACTGTGGCCCTAACAATAGTTTATGGTGACAATTCATATTGGTGCAACATAGAATTTTAAATTTTGAGGTTCAGCATACACCAATAGGCAAAAGTCTTAAAATATAGAAAAATACATAAACCAAGAGGTGAAGTTTTACTTGCTTAGTAGTTTGTATTCCTAACAAAAATCCCACGCCCATGACTTCATTCAACTTAACATCAACAAAATAAAATTTCAATTCAGTAGTCATAAAATGAGTACAACAGAGATTGTAATCCTGACACAGTAGAGAATACATATATTTTAAGCTCAATAAAAATTCCATGACCAGTGCTTTAAATGTGAAATTAGTAAGCATGATACAACCAAATATTTCATAGGCACTTCAACATCAGCACAATATTTTAAATAAGTTAGGATCAAGACTCCTTATCATAGAACAAATCAAAATCATGGTCTGAACATACTATGGAACATAAATTTAGTGCCAATCCAAAAGAACTTTCTTGTCATAACAACACAAAGCATGATTTCTATCATTAATTGGACAAGGAAGAAGCAAACCACATGCAGCTGTATGGTTCAAAATCTAAAAGAAAGAAAGGAAAGAAACTTATAGCCAAGACCACCAAAAGTTGTTGCATGGTTTCAAATTTCCAAAATAAAACAAACAAGCATATGAGAACCATGTTATTGGTGGAACATGAACTGTTAAATATGCCATCATCACACAAAGCCATGACTCAGCGTGATTTTCGTCACAAAACTGTACATAGAAAATAATACATAATTGTGAAGAAAACAGCCTGGTGATCAGAAAATTAGACAAGGCTCCCGTTTTCCTACTTAATACCTCATCATTTCAACGCATAAAATGATTACAATCCACCAAGTACAACAATAGCAATGTGTTCATATGGCTCAAGCCTCAAACATGACCAAAATTATGGCTCAAAGAAGACTGATAGAGTCAAAGGGTTATAACAACTTTAAAAAGAAATGGCATGACTCAAACAAGTTTAAATGTGATGGACTACATAAAGAAAAAAAAAATCTACTTAGAACATCAATTAAAATGGGATAAATGGTACTATTCTCAGCCACATTTTAAGAATTGTAAAAACAGAATTTCAAATTGCACTCAGACATGCAATGAAATGCACATCTGACATTAAAATATGAATACAATCGTCTACAATCCAAGCCAAAGACATTATTTAGATTGTTTATGTCTTGAAGAAAAGGATTGTCGGCATAGCTTCAGAGATGAAGTTAAAAGAAGAAAGAAAATTATACTACCCCCTGCCCTATAGGTATGGCAAACATACAACCAACTTTCTTCTCAGAGCAATGCATAGGCTCAACCATAAATGTCTGAAGCATAGATGTGACACACAATTACCCACAGCAAGTTACTTAAAAGTTCTTCGGCTTTTCTTTGAAGAGCTGAATTCACATTTATCTCCAATAGATTTTTTTTCCTCCTACTATAATAAGAGTGACAGTGCAGAAGCCTGAAACATACAGCTTAGCATGGTAAACATGAGAAACCAATATTACCATTTTCCAAAACAACAAATACATTAATCAATGAAATGATTTTAAGACCTTGTTTTTCAATGCTAGTGCAAGACACAGTAGGAATTATTTCCACCTGCTAAAAGTTTAACATACAAAATTTACCATAAAAAAGTTTTATATTAGGCTATCAAAGACAGTCATTAAGAAATTAAAGGGAAGTGGATAGGAATTGGGGATGAAAGAATGTTAGACTTTGAGAATTTTCTTAATTTTTTGAGTACAAAATTTGTTGTACTGTACTTGTTTGACAGCAATCTATTTTAGGTGAAAAGTAGGTGATTTGGAGTATATTTTTGGTAAATATGCAATAGGTAAAAGTGGGTAGTACAACTAAGTCAACAATGGATGCATTTTTTGAATAGTAATATCAGAAATGGTTGTATTTGTAACTTGCTAATTTGAAAAAAAACTTGAATGAAAAATTGATTGCCTACTAAGAACTTTTCTTGCTCTATTTTGCTCTCCACTCTTCCTATCATTCTGTTTTCGTTTTTTTATCAAAGAATATAAGACTAGGAATTATCTCATTTATACTCACAATTTTAAGGGACATGATGATGGTTTTTCTCTACAATAAGTATAAATAGTTATTTTAAAACTCATTTCATGTTTTGATCATTAATATACTTTATGTTTTCTTTTTTCTTAATTAATTAAAAATTGCTCTCTGCAACATATGGCAGTACTCAATACTCCAAATTTCAGCTAAAATGATCACTAAAACCCAAACAGAGATTGCGTATTTCTTCAAATATCTGATAGACACCATTCCGCAATGCAAAATCTGGCCATTTTGAAAAACAACTTTCCAAATCACTTCTGACTTCACTCACCAACTATCCAAGCCCTTCATAACATATTCATCAATCATTCAAGCTAAAGACAAAAGAAATAAAACAATAAACCAAGATTGAAAATAAGCCCAGTAATACACTTATTCCAACTACACGAAGATGAACCTCACACCTCCCCGATGCTGAAACACAATTTTAACCCATTAAAAGTGGTTACCGGTGTCAAACTTCAATTAAAATATAGAATGTCACGTAACAAAAACTATCAATCCACCAACAAAACATAAAAAGAGGGAAGGGGGTAAGACATATAACTTATCATTTATCATTATCATTCATCACCCCTAAACAAGTTTCAATGATTCTATAACTAACACAAAATTGAGAACACCAAAGTGAAATTGAGAATCAATCCAACACAACAGCAGCACCCAACTCCTTAAGCTTCTCCATGATGGGCTTAGCCTCCTCCTTACTGAGCCCCTTCTTCAAAACACAGGGAGGCTTCTCCACCAAGTCCTTCGCTTCCTTCAGCCCCAAGTCAGTGAAAGCCCTCACTTCCTTGACGATCTTGATCTTCACAGCAGCATCATACTTCTCCAGCTTCAAATCAAACGTTACAGTGGAACGTCTAAATATAAATGAGATAGGTGACATAATGCAATAATAATAAAAAGATATATAAAAATAAATAATAACAGTTAATGGAGTATATAAGATTATGGAACGTCTAAATATAATAACATTAACACCGGAGTTTCCCAAAATAAATGAAGCATTTACCTTTTCAACAGTTCATACTTCATACTCATGAAACATCTTATATTATCACTTCACCATTTATCTTGATAGCCGGAATGTGAGCAATCGTAGAACAATATTTCCCTCTCTGACTTTGATACCTTGCTTCTAGTAAAGGACAGAAACAAATCTCCAGTAATTCTAGAGAGGGTGACAATTGATCTTCTGGCAAGGACTCAAGGTTTTGACATTGCAAGATGTGAAGCTCTCGGAGAGAAGTGAGATGTTGAAGCCCTTTTCCTTCCAACAACTTTAAACCATCAAAACGCGAAAGCGTCAGATGCTGGAGAGAAGTGGGCAGTAACCGCTCCTTCAACAAGGTATTGAGCAGATCTTGCCGCCGCAAACCCCAAAGGTGAAGAATTGACAGAGAAGTGAGGCATTGGAATAGTGAACCTAACTCATGTTTAGACATTGATGATAAATTTCCAATATCAACAACAAGTGATTTTAAACTGGAAGACAAACAACTTGGGGAAATCGATAATAGCTGCGGAAGCCTTGTAAGGTGGAAGTGATTACAGACAGGGAGAACAATCTGTTCTGGCAGTGACGAAAGCTTCACACATTCCCTGATAATAAGAAATGATAATTTGAGAGCAACCGATCCACCTTGAGTAGTAATTGCTTCCAAGTTGTGACAATACCATATATCAATAAATTGAAGGGATGGGAAACAATCCAATGGAAAGGATTTCATGGAATGACAGCTATTCCAAATTATCAGGTTTTCAAGTGATGTGTATTTGTGCCATGTTTCATGAGATAGAAATTCTAAGTTCCCACAGTCTTTGATTTCAAGTAATTGCAATGACGTGGACAAACCATGTGTTGGGAAAGAAATCAAAGAAGGGATATTTTTAAGAGTCAACCTTCGAAGACAATTGGCAACGAGCATCATTCTTGGCAAAGATTGAAAGCTGTGACAATTTTCAATAGATAGTTTTAACCAAGAATATTTGTCAAGCAAAGACAACAGATCTTCTCCCCCTTCTGTAATATGTATTTCTTCAACTGATGAGTTCCATTGCAGATCACATGCTTTTGCTTGTAGCATCTTGCACTCTGAGATACTAATCTTTGTTAATGAAGGCAGAGAGTTGGGCAAGTTTCCTCTCAAATTAGGGCACTTGGATAATTTCAAATTCTTAAGACAAGGAAAACAAAAGTTGCTACCTTCACCTTCAAATGGTAACCACTCCTCCCAGTGTGGCATGTCTTCGAATTGGAGACTCTCTAACAATGGAAATGGCTTAAAAGAAGGCAAACCTATATTGCTGCAGTAGAATTCATTGCCAATTGTACTTATCATTTTCATTCTTTTGATGACAAGTTCCTTAAGTGAAGGTAATTGTCCAAATGGTGGAAGTGACAAGCAATACTTGCAATCAGTAATACCAAGGACTATAACATTAGAATATGAAGAATCACCCAACCATTTTGGAAAGCTTGTGCCGCCATAGGAGCTGATGTTGAGTTTCTTTAAATTTGTTGACGGTTGCAGATTGTCAAGTACATCTTTGGCAATTTCCGAACCTTGTGGATCACTACCCCATTTCAACGTAAGCTCCTCAATTTGCCCTTTTTTCTTCAGGTCGGCTTGAAATGCCTCCATAGGATGGTCAACATTTTGTAGTTCCAAAATGGAAAGCTTACCCTGCAAATGGGGAAATCTTCTTAATTCCGTGATGCTTAGTCCATTTTGTTTGCCTACTACAAAACAAGTCAATGTACGGAGACTTTGTAGATTGCATATTTTTGTCGGCAACTCCAAATTTGTGTCACTGATATCCAAGTAACGTAAATTGACCAAATTTCCTAATTGTTCTGGCAGTTGAATTAGAAACTTACAATTGGATAATTTCAAAGTCTGCAGATTGTAAAGCACAAAGGTTGAATTAGGCAACATTTGGATCCAAGTATTGGAAAGGTCAAGATACCTTAGAAGCACCAGATTACCAATTGAATCGGGCAGTTCAGTGATATTTTTGTATTCAGACAATGAGAGTGTTCGCAAGCATCTTAGTTTTGGCAACCAATCACATGATACTATTTTTGCTAAGTAACATTCTTGACTTGAATATTGGAGTCGTGGTAGAAAGGTCCGCAAACAGTTTAGCTCATACAAGCCCTCAAATCTCCTAGATACATCAAACTTCCTTGTATGAAATATTAAATGGCGAACACTTCCCGATAACTTACCACATTCAAAGTAGCATGAACTTTTTCCAGATACTAGTTTAGCTAAATCATAAATGAGGTCATGCATTCGAAACTTTCCTCCAACTTCAACTTTTTGTTTGTCAATTAAGGATCTAGATAAGAATTCATTGAAGCAATCATCACCTGCTGATTCCATAGCTTTCTCACTGTGGACCTGTTGAAGAAAGCCTTCAGCCATCCATAACAAAATCAACTCCTTCTTATCCAACAAATGTTGTCTTGGAAAAATTGAGCAGTAAGCAAAACATCTTTTCATATATGCTGGAAGATGTAGATAACTTATGCGTAGAGCAGGTAAAACATCATCATGTGCCCATAAGCTGTTGTTCAGAATTCTTTCCCATTCCCCAAGATCAACATTCGATCGCAAAAGGCCTCCCAATGTTTTAGCAGCTAGTGGTAGGCCATTGCATTTTTTTGCAATTTTCCTACCAATTTCTTCGAGACCAGGATATTTGTAGTAACCTTCATTTCCAAATGCATGATTGGCTAGTATGTGCCAACAATTATCATCTGTAAGAGGTTTCAACTCACAAATGGGAAAAGTGTGTGTGACCTGTGCAACTCTTTGTTGTCGGGTTGTGACAATGATCTTACTTCCTTTCTTCCCGCTGCTGAAAGGAGCTATTAGGTGATGCCAATCATTATACTTGTCATTCCAAAGGTCATCAAGCACAAGCAAAAATTTCTTCTCTCTTAAGCTATTCCTTAATTGCACACGAAGAACATCCAAATTAGTAATATGACTATCTTTCAATGTGAGAGATTCGACAATTTTTTTTGTCACTCTAAAAACATCAAAATCGTCTGATACCCATGCCCAAACTTTCAAATCAAAATGTTCCTGCACTTCACTATCATTATAAAGGGATTGAGCAAGGGTTGTTTTTCCCATTCCTCCCATGGCCAATATTGTAATTACTTCTATATTGTTCTTCTTTTCATCGTCATCAGATAGAAGCATGTTCAGTAGCTTTTCTTTGTCATCATCTCTTGCAACAACAATAGGTTCAACCAATGAATCTGTAGCTGTTCTACTAGAAACTCTCCTAGAAACAATTCGCAAACCAAGAATATCTTTTTGTTTCACAAAATGTTCTAGTCTTGTAGATATTTCTTCAAGTTTCGGATTCATGCTCCTATGGAATTGGTTAAAGGGAGATGAAAGAAATGATCTAACCTCGGTAGCAAATGTTTTATATTCTCCCTCCACCTTGCATCTGAAAGACTCAGTGTTGATTTCATCCAACAAATCTTCAGCATCATAGACAGCATCTTTCAACTCATCAAGCCATGCTTTCACTGCAGGATCAGTGATCTGCTTCTCCTCAGCATCATTGAGCACAGTGTTAAGAGCCAACAAGTTTATCTTCAATCCATCCAACACAGAAACATTTAGCTTTGTGCTGGAAAAGAAATCTCTGAACTCTCTGGAGGCCATCCTATCCAATAAGATCTGCACAGAAGCAGAGATAAGTGCCTCTCCCACCATAGCTAATGCCATTTCTTCTTTTGTTCTGCAAATTGGATCAGAAAACTGGAATTTTAACTAAATGATGAAGTTGATACATACATATTTGTGCCAGTGAGGGGTTGTTGTATTATAATGCTAAGTCAACTCAAAGTTTTGATTTCCCAATAAACATAGTATTATAATCAACGCGTGAATCCCGTTGCTTTTTCGGGTTTTAGTTTATTGCATGTTGAATCACGAAAGTGCGGCATCATTTTATTATTAAATACATATTTTCAACAAAAATATTTTCTGAGGACATTTTCATTATCAATTTTTCTTTAAAATAATATAAACTACTTATGGGAGCCAATTCTTCTGATTATAATACTACAGTTTATTGTTAAAATCGATCCTTTTACCAATAAAACATTTTATCTTGTTCTAACACCCGAAGTAAAAGTAAAATAATTCCTCATTACTCGTGTATTCACCTTCCTCTCCGTGTTAATTTTATTTATTTTTAAATTTAAATATATTTTTATCATGGTTGTAATTATGTAATTTTAGTCTTTAAATTTTAATTAAATTATTGACTCAAATAAATTTTTAATCTCTTAAATTTAAGACAAATTTATTTTTAGTCTTTTAAATTTAAAATTAATTTTTTTAATTTTTAAAAATTATTTTAGTCCTTATATTCAAATTTTATTAAAAAAAATTATTAAATACTATCTCATAAAATCTACTTATTTAGACTAGGGATGAGAATAAATTAGACTTAATTAATAGAAATTTATAGTCTGACCTCTTTAAAGTATGGTCCAACAATCTCAAAAAAAAATTTAAATTTCACATCACTTTTTTTTTTCTTGTTTATTTATCCTCTTGTTTTGCTCTCTTACCTTTTTTTCTTGTTTCTTTTTCCTTTCTCATCTTATCTTTTCTCCTTATTTCACCTATCTCTTTCTTGCTCTTTTTTTTTGCTCCCTTCCACCTCTCTCTTTCTCTCTTTTCACATTTTTCTTTTTGTTCATTTTTTTCTTCTTTCTCTCTTTATTTTTTTTCTTATCTTTTTTTATCTATCAATATTTTTTTGGTTATATTTTTATTATCAATATTGATATATAATTTATCAACCAGATAACTATGAACCATTTTACCAATTTTCACCACCTTAGGAATGTAGTCTATTGTAACCTTCCCTTTTAAGTTTGAAGGTTCCTATTGAAAATTCAAGTCGTCAATAAATAAGTAGATTTCAGGGCAAGGGAAGCTCTAATTCAATTGGTACCAACAATCATGTCAAAGTTCTTGATATTTTTTTATTGGCATTTAGATTATTGCTGTTAATTTTGAAAAAATATCTAACATATTGGAGAAAAGAGAAAAAAGATAGAGAGAAAAGAGAAAAGGATAGAGAGAAAGAGAAATATAATAATATTTTGGATGTTATAAAAGAGATTTCAAATTTGGATGACAAAACTTGTTTTATGGCTACTTATATACTTGATATATACTAAAGCAAAGGCAAAGGCTTTCATTGAGATGTGATTAAAAGAACATGATCTTGAATAAACTTCAAGTTGGGATGATGTGGAGAAAAGAGAGACATTAGAAGGGAGGTTAAATAGTGTCAATCAAAAACTCAACACTTTTAAAAAACAACAAAGTAATAATGTGATTATAAAAGTGTAAATAAAGAGATACATAAGAAAAATACACAGTATTTTTATATTGGTTCGTCTCAACCATTGAGACTACATCCAATTCTTAATCAACTTAATCAAATCTCATTATCTTTTACAAATATACAAATATTCTTTTACAAGTTATTTTTGATTCAACCTAAGTGTTATTTGACTTACTTCTTCAAGTAATTATCCAAGTATTCTTTTAACACCGCCTCCCTAGCTTCAAACAATCAAGTATTCTTTTAACACAAAGTCTCTTTAGGCTTTAAATAATCAAGTATTATTTTACAATCAAGTCTCTTCAAGTTTAAAATAATAACACTAAGTTAAAGTTTGGTAAATTAACAATATTGTTTTGTCTTATTATCAATACATGATACAAGCTATTAAGTATAATGTTTCTTTATAGAAAAAATGAATATATTTTTACAATGAATATGTATCTCTCTTGTTTATGAAACTTCAAGCTTATTTACATTGGTGCTTCATGAAGATGACTATAGTAAATCCTTGAACATCTCTAATAGGCTTGCTTCCTCTATCTTCATTTTTGTTTCTTGTAAAGAGAAATGTCCGTTGATGCATTAAATGTGTTTCATCAAATTATCACTTTTTATCTAATTAAGAAAGCTACTTATTACCTTTTACGTACCAAAAGAAAGGATATTATGCATATGTTAATCTAAAACAACTTTTCTTGTAGTTTTTTGTGCTTTATAAGATAGGCTAGTCTTTTTTCTGACAAAAAACATGTCTTTAGTTCCTTTAGTGAATTGTGGGTACTGAAAAAGATTTATGAATTCCACTTGTTAAGGAAACATGTGAAAAAAAATAATTTTGTTATCGGTCATCATAAATGATATAAGTTAAGAGCAGATGTGTTATAGTTATAGATAAAGTGTTTCATCTATGAGACTTAATGTTAGGATAATTAAACATCTTAAACAAATCATCTTATAAACATTCGTCTTAAAGAAAAAATTTTCCCTTGAAAAAAGTTTTTATATGTTATCATTAAAACTTGAAATCTTGAGGAGTTTAAGATTGTCTTTTAACTTAATAGATAATTAATGCTTTGTTGAACCCTATTTTTTTAACTGATATTTTGATTGCATTTTGGTTGAAGTGTTTGATTTATATTTTGGAAGAACTATAATAATTGAAATTTAATAATATATAAAAAAATTGGTTTGCATCGAAGTTATTGATGATACTCATATTTCAACAATGGCAAGGAGACAAGATGTAAGCAATTAACATAATCGTCATGGAAAGATATTATAAAATGTATTAGCAACTTGTAATTTTGATTTGAAATTCATGTACGTTCTTAGCAGGTGGGAGAGTTTAGCTCATGATTCCAAGTTATTAAGTAATGATTTAATAAGGAGAAATGGACTTAAAGTATCCGAAGGTAAATATTTTTTTAATAATAAATATATTGTCTTTTAACTTTTTATACTAATTCTATATGTGTTGTATATGTAATTAGGTAAATATATTTTAGTAGATTGTGAACTTTCTAATAGACACCAAGTTTTAGCTCCATTTCGAGATGTGCGATATCATCTCCAAGATTTTGTAGATCATGATAATGATTATCAAAATGCGAATGAAGTGTTTAATTTACACCATGCGTCCTTAAGAAATCTGATTGAAAGGATGTTTGATATTTTTATACCATACTGCATAATTTTTAAATCAGTGCCTTCATTTCTATCTAAGACACAAACTAAACTTGTATTAGCATGTGTAACATTATATAACTTTCTTCGCAAAAAATGTCGTTATGATTAGTGAGGGATCCAGAAATTTTAGGTAGTGAGAGCAATATTTATTCATATATTTGTAGTTGTTCTGGTATGTCTAAAAGTCTTACATCGCTTAGGAGTCAAGGATAAGGATAATTTATTAACACCATCCCTCTTTAAGCCACTGAGGTGCCTTTTAAAGGATAAAACCGTGACGGTCCAACGAGTGTCAAAGCAAAAAATATCTCAGATACGGTGACCCTAACGATGACAGCAGACTTACGGTATTTAAAATTTTACATATAACTTTTAAAAGTATAAATATATATCGTAATTATTTTTACAAGTTTTTATATCTACAATTATGATTAAGGATGAAAATAAATTGGGTTAGAATAGATTATATTATAATTTAATAGATTTTAACCTAACTTTCTTTAAAATTATATGTCTTTAATATGAATTATTTATCTGTCATAGATATTTTTTAAATGTTTGGTTAGAACTACAATCTTAAAGACTTACTTTATAATAATTTAACACTAATAAAACCATAAAAATAAATATGTTAAATTTTATATGTAAAAAAACAAGTTTAATTTATTTATGATATAAACATGTACTGATATAAATTTTTAGATAATAAGTATTTTAAAATATATTTTATAATAAAAATTCAAAATAGAATATAAATCTTCCAACCTTTCCTATTTTGATTTTTTTTACTCAATATATACAATCTTACAATCTTTATTATTTTGATTATTTTAATCAACATATACAATAAATAGAAAGTATAAAAGGTAAACATGCATAGTGCAAATTTTATTTTATCAAAAATTAATTTTTTTTAACATTCTACTTTATATAAGTGAACATTAATATATATATATATATATATATATATATCTCCTTCAAAAATTTTAAAAAATGTCAAATATATGAACACCTCCTTCAAATTTATATTTTATACATATGATAATTTAAATACATACATATATATATATATATAATATATTATTAGAATATAAATTTTATTTTTTAAAATATATTATTTTTTAGATAAAAAAATATGCATAAAATGGTAGTGGGAGCAAGTGCCCCTACTATCTCCAATGTTGATCCGTCCCTGGTTATGATGAATTTCTAATTAGTAGATGAATCTTCATCTTTAGTATTACCAATTAATAAAGACCATAATTTTAAAAATATTATTCAAACTCAAGAGCATGAAAGACAATACGTCAATGCATGGAGGACTAATATAACTTTAGATATATAGAGAAGTATTAGTTAAAAAGATTATAGAGTTAATTATTTATCAAAAAATAAAAGATAATTGTTTATTAAAAGATAGGAAAAAAATATGTTAGTTTTACTTTTCTTTATTATTTATGTTATATTTTTTTAATCCTTGTAACATTAAATATTTTTTTATAAATTCATAATTTTTTTATAAAATTCACAAAATCCTTTAAAATGTTATGATATAAATCTATTAAAATCTATTAAATTTAAATTATAAAATCTTGATTAAAATTCATATTTTAAAAAACATGGCATTCCTTCAAAAAAAGAATTTAAAATTCATATGATCTTTTTATATTAAAATAATTTTTTTAAATTTCGATATTATTAGCATTGTATTTTAAAATAGACGAATATAACACAATACTTAACCAACAATTGTCATTCTAGCTAATAAAAAATTAATTCATATTTTAGTTCGATTT